TGGGTAGAAGTTTGGTGGTTAGTGGTTGGTGCACTAACGCGTTGCTTCGCGAACTAAACTTTTAACGCGTGGCTGTACTATTCTAAAGTTTAGTTTTATCTTTTAGTCTGCCTATTAGTTTTAGAATAGTAGGCTAATAAAATTTTTTTTACATACTAAAATAGTAATAAAAACTATCTTAGTACTTTAAGTTTATTATTAGCTTTTAATTAAAAATAATGTTTTTTAAAACTTTATAAAAGTAAATAACTTTTTTTAACTAAACTTTTACTAGGTCTAAAGCCTTTTAATTAGCTTTAGCTAGCACTTAGTAAGCTATCTTAGTAAGATAGTCTACTATTATAAGAATTGCATTATATACTAACCTTAAGTATTTATAAGAGGGCAGCTGTGTTATAAAATCTATTATAACATCTTACTAAAGCTTATTAGGCAGTAGCAAAGAGTAAAGGAGCCTATATAGGCAGTATTGTAGAGCTACTAATTATTTACACTTTAGGTAGTTGTTATAGTACACTTTTATGTTCTTTCTAAGCCTTTTTTAATTATATTAATGTATAATCTTTTTAAGTGTCTTTTTTACACTAAAGTAGCCTACTAATAAGCTGTTATAGCACTTTTAGAACACTTTTGCCTTTTCTTAGTCTATTATTAGAGTTTTTTTTTTCTATATTAGCTATAGCATGTTGTTTTAGCCTATTCTAGAGATAAGTGTCTTTATTAAGGTTCTTTTTATTTTTTATTTTACTTTTAGTGTTTAATAAGTTTGTTTTATTATAGTCTTCTCTAATACCTAATATAAAGTCCTTATTATTGTCTTTCTCTAGTTTTTTACTTATAGCTCTTTTAGGATCTAGCTGTTTTAGCTCTTATTTTTTTAAAGTAGTCTCTAGCTAAGCTTAAAAAATTTTAAAAACATGTAATAGCTATAACTATTAATTTCTTATTATAATTTTATTAATTTAAGAAGTTATACATGTCTATTACATACACTATATTCCTTTTCTAAGAAGGCTGTTATAACTTCTTAATATAGTTAAGTCTTCTTAAGAGTCTATCTACTAGGTTTAGCTTCTCTAGATAGTGCGTAATAACAAAATTATATTCTATTATCTTTTTATAAGCTTAGACCTACTAGTAGTTTAAAGTTTTAGTTTTTATAAACTAGTAAAGATTATTATAGTCTGTAAAAAGTTTAAATAGTAGACTCTAAAAGTAATGTTACTAATATGCTAAACTTTTATTAATAGTAAGTAACTTTTTATTATAAGTATTATAATTATACTTAGCTTTACTTATTTTTTTTAAGAAAAAGCTAATTAGCCTTTATTAAGCCTTTTTAGTTTTATTTAAGACTAATTAGCTTAAAATGCTATAAATTACACTTCTTAAAGTGTTAACTTTTACTTTAGTTTTTCTATTAGCATTAAAATAAGCTAATATAAGAAATTTAAGAAATAAGTTTTAAAGCTTTTAAAAAGCTGCTTTACTCTTAGAACTAATATTAAGCTTTTAACTTTTTTTTTACTTTTACTTTTAACTACTTTTTACTATATCTAGGCCCTTTTAAGGTAGCTTAGTAAAGAGTAGAGTAATTAAAAAAAGTTAGTAATAAACTACTTATAGTAGTTTATAAACTCTATAAAAATGTAAATATTTTAAATAGTTTTTAGCATTAGCTACTTCTAGATTATCTTAATTCTTAAAAAGTTAACTTTAACTTTTTTTAAGTAAACTATGTACTTTAAGTACTTAGTTTTTTACATGTAAAATTTACACTTACTAAGTTTTAAAAAAGCTTTACTTTATATAATCTTTATAGCACTTTTTTAATATAAATAACTTATTTTTTTTATATTAAAATAAACTAAAATATTATTAAAGTACATAATACACATTACATTAACTAACCCTGCTAGGGCCTAGTTAATATAAGCCTAGAAAGCTATAAGAGCATTAGTAAAACTAAAAAGCATAACCTAGTACTTAAAATAACTATATTAAGTCTAAAATACTGTCTTTTACTTATCTCTTTTATAAATATATAATATATAGTACACATTATAAATATCTAGCTTTATATACTACTTTACCTTCCTAAGTTTTTTAAGAAATTCTAAGATAAGTAGTAGTAAGTAATAATTTTTTATTATAATTTAGTTTAAGCCTTTATAATCTATATAAAGCTTTAACTTTTTATTCTTTTTTTTATAAATAAAATTAGAGCTTTTATAGAAAACTTAGACCTTTAAATTTACTCTTTTTATAAATAATTATTAATATATTTATAAAAATACTATAACTTATACTCTAATAAGTTATATAGCAGTTAGTAAGAAGGCTTTGTCCTTTCTTTTAGCTTAATAGCTAGATTCTATAGGCTATACAGTAGTACTTCTAACATCTTATTAGACTTAACTATGTCTATATATTTTTTTATACTTTAGTCTTAACTTAAGCTCTACAGGTTTTAAAAAATCTTTAGTGTTATTAAACAGCACACTGCAGACATAGACATTTATATTAGAACTCTACATAGTTTACTTAAACTCTGCTGCGTCTTCTAAGGCTACTTTAGTGTACTTTAGCACACTATAGTCTTTTACACCCTTAAATAATATATGTCTTATATAAAAGTTTAGCTTTAAATTAAACTAATTAATTTAAAGTAAACTTAAATATATTAAAAGTTTTTTTAGGTTTATTACTATAAATAGCACCTTATAAGTTTAAACTTTTTTTTAGGAGTCTATAATCTTTACATTTATAACTATAAAGCTATAGATAGTAAAGTCTAATTTATTAAATGCCTTTAGAAAATCACTTAGTAGGGGCTTAATCTTAAGATCCTACTCTTTAGCTATTATAGTAGATAAGATGTTTAATTAAGCTTTTTTATTTACTATAGCTTAAAAGTCTTTTAATAACTCTATGCTTACTATTACTAATAATAAAGTTAACTTTTTTAAGTATAATAAGTTTTAAAAGTTTTTAAGCTTTTTTTTTATTACTTACTAAAGTAATATAAGCTAGAAGAAAAAAGCTTAGTTTTTTTAGCTCTACTTTTTTTCTTTCTACTTATTTTTATTAGACTTGTTCTTATCTTTATTCTTTATAAAATAATTTAGAGAAATATAACCTAGCTGCTTATAATTTTAGTAAGTAACTTTTATTTTATTAAATTTTTACTTTTTTTAGCTTTTTTTAGCTTTTTTTTAGCTTAAAGGCTTTTTTTATTTTTTTTAAGCTTTTTTAAGTTCTTATTAGCTAGAGGTAAAGTAGAACACTTTTATGTTCTTTTTTTTTTTAACTTTAGCCCTTTTCCCTTCTGCAGGCAGCAGTAGGATATGTTGCTCTACTTTTTTACCTAAGCTAGCGTCTTTTGCTTACTTTATAGGATATATATTAGATTACGCTTAATCTTATTAGATAGTGCGCTACTAAAGTCTACTATTATTCTATTTAAGCTCTTTTTATTAACTTTAGTCTATAATAGCCTAAAGTAGGCTAAAAGTTTAGTTAGAAACTAATTAAGTTATTATTTATAGTTTTTTATAGCATTATAAGCTACTTTTTTTTATTCTACTAAAGTACTTAATGCATTAAGCATTTTATTTTTAAAATTTTGCTATATTAGTAACTATAATAAGTTAATAAGCTTTAAATAAGTGTAGTGTATTTTTTATAGTAATTATAGTGTCTTATTAATGTATTATAAGCTAAAAAAGATTTTCTGTAATTCTTAAGCAAAGCTTAATAAACTTTTTTAATAATAGTTCTTATTATCCCTACACTACTAGTTATAGTCTGCCTTATTTTTTTTTATATTAGTGTAGTAGTTTAGAACGCAGTAGGTTTACTTAGTCTTAAGTAAGTTTTAGTATAATAATGTTTAATACTTTAGTTAGTAACTTATTAAGTGTGTTTATATTACCTGCTTTAAATTAATAATAAATTTTTATTATCTTAGCTAGTTCTTACGCTTCCTGCTGCTCTTGCAGCTAGGCGTAGGCTTCTGCTAAAGCCTAATTTGCGGGGGTGGACTGTGCGTTGCTTAGTCCTGCACTAGCCCTTCTAACCTTTTCTAGGCCCTAAACGCCTTCTAGATAGCTTAATAAGCCTAATTTATAAAGATTTTTATTATTTTTTTTACTTATCTTTTGCTTTATTCCTCTTTATGTTAGTATTAACCTTAGTTAAGTATTACTAAAAGTAGTAGTTTTAGCTAGCTTTTTAAGTAGTCTTTAAGTGCTAGTTACATCTAATTTTTTTTAGCATTTTACTTTAACACTATTATGTAGGAATGTTGCCCTTAAGCAGTATACTAGCTTGTAGAGCAATTTAAATGTAAAAATAGAATAGTAAGTAGCATAAATAGCACTAAAAGCAAGCTTTTAGAGAAAGATAGGAGTGTATTATAAGAGAGACAAATTGCTACTAAGCTTCGCTTGTTAGGATTTATGCTTATATACAAAGCACAGGTCATACAACCTCCAAACAGGTTAGGTGAGGCCATACTGGCCCGTTCTGGGACATCCGGCCTTACAGGTAGCTGTTTATGCCTAGCGCCTTCTGCTCTTACTAAAGGTTAGTAATAGCTGTGATGTAGGCGCAAACTAAGCGCTAGGCAAAACACGTCTTGTCTTAGAAGACATTACTCCCTACCTTGCAAAACCTAGTCCTTAAGGGCTAGTTTATAACTTTTTTAACTAGGAAGAGCAGCAGCTTCTCCTCTATAACAGTGCTGCTGTTGTAGTACTGCTTCCTCTTGCAGAACGCCTAGACGCAGAGTTAGCACAGACACAGACACACAGATAGGCAGGCAGGTGGGCAAGAATACTACCTTAAATTCCTCCTGCTTTAGACTATAAACCTAGTGCGTATTCTCTAGCCGCTGCTTGTAAATTATAGCTAGGATATAGTGCGCATTAGCGCGCAGCTTAGCGTTGTTTGCAATGTTAACGTCTGCGCGCTTGCAACGCGCCCTGCGCTGTAGACCTATGCTCGCTCGCCTTGCCCTGCTCTTGCCCCTGAGTGTAACGGCGCAGGCAAGACAATGGGTCCGAATGCGGTATGAATCCACTCAGAGGCATATGGGAGTGCGTGGGGACTCAGAGACCTGGGAATACCAATGACACCTATAGGCCTTGTACGTAGGATATCAGAAAACTACCGAGCTAGCTACGGGGGCGAGGTGCGACTAAATACATGAGGGAATAGGGGTAACAGCAGGGGTCGGGGCCAGGTCGAGGTCGGGGCCGATACGGGGGCCTTCCGGAGGTTCCGGGCGACCTGACGATTCATGAGAATCGAGTCAGGGTCGGAGCCGATACGGGGACCCTTCGGATAGGTTCCGGGCGACCCGAGATGGAACGAGAATCGTTACACTGAGTGAGTGTGTACAGTGAGAGAGGGTATATACAGCAGCAAGCAGCGCACGCTGAAGCTCAGGCTCGGGATGAAGGCTAGATAGCTAACGTTTTAGGCAACCTAATTCAGCTATACGCGTGTACAGACACAGCTGTACTTACGTACAGACAGCTGCTCTATTATAGCACTAACTAATATGTTCTTGCTAGGCCTTTCTTCTAGTAATTGTTAGTAGATTAACATTTCTAGTGCAAATGCACTCTAGACATAAGAATAATTTTGTAAAATATCCTTCTCTTCTTTTATATAAGTTTAAGAAATGCAACTTAAAGCCTTAAGCAGTGTAAATTGTATCTTAATAGATAAAGCACTAATATACAATTTGCTTCTTATTAGCATAAAATATGTTAAAATAGGTTTTCCACTTAGACACTTTCTACTAAGACTGTCTGTCTAACTCCTTAGAAGATGCATTATTTATAAGAACAACATTAATAGCATTAAACTGTTGTCTTAAACCTATTATTTTTTTTTTTATCTATTTTAGCTTTGTAAGCTTTAGTAATGTAGA